CCCTTCCCTCCTCTCTGCCATCGTTGATGGGATGGCAGAGAGGAGCCAGCGGCAAACCACAACCAATAACAGCATGTTGTACGGCAACACTGCACAGGCCAAAAGAGGGGCTGCCTGCAGGATGGTTGGATTACATTCACAAAGCCTGAAGGATACTCTGGTCTTCTATTCTAAAATACTGTCACCATGGTATGCCCATTAAAACAGAGAAAACACAGGAAGGCTGAAAGTCATTCTTTGATTCGCTAATTTTAAGATTCCTCTTGTAATGTGTTTATTTCTCGGTTTCTAAGATTAAGATATTAAAAACATATTGCCATAGAGATACTGAAGTCAAAATACATGCCGTAATTAAAATAGCATTAAAGAATTTGAACCTTCTTTATCAGCAGCTGAGGAGTTGCAACATCAACAGGTTTTCTGGCACAGTTTACACATGGAAAGTGAGTTTAGAAAGCCAGAAATCTCAGCAATGTCGATTCACTAGTATTGACTTTAAAACATGTCCAATAATGGATGTATGAAGCAGATACTGAACGGACACTATTCCTTTTCCTTTTCCTTTTCATTCCTTCATCTTTTTAACATAAACAGAACACATAAAAAATAATGTTTGATCAGGAATCTCTAAACGTGACCAAGATACTGAGCGGGATTTAGACAGTTGAAAAATAAACTTGTCAGCGCTCTCTTGTGGTAAAAGAGTGTAATGGCAACCCTGTTTCAAAATGACCACAAACATATCTTTGGCATTTCTGTACTGACATTTTATCATTATTAGATAGTGACAATGAAGAGGCAGACAGGAAATGGGGGAAATGACATGCAACAAAGGTAGCCAGCCGCTTGTGACCATGTGGCCATTCGGCTACGGAGATGCCCCTGTACTTTATAATGTCAGATACCAATATATCTGTGATAATCAGCTACATATGATATGATATATAAGATGCTACATGGAACCATATGAATGTGACTTTAATCAAATTTTAATTGTGCAAATATTCAATATTAAGTTATTACAATTCATCCTGAGGGGGGCATGAATGTCTGTGCCAAACTTCATGGCAATCCTCCAACTATTCTGTCTCAGCAACCAACAGTTGTGGGCTGACAGACTGACTAACGTCGCCATCCCTTCAAGGCATCTACAATTCAAAGGCTAAAAGATGCAACACTAGTTGTTACAGCTGCAACTGCGGTGTAACAGGTGCAGTGAGCTGGGCAGTAAAATCATAGGGCACTGGACAATCAGATATAAAGACATACTGATGCAGGACAGTGCAAATCATCAGTCTGAGAGCAGGTGGAAGACAAGAGCTTAGCTGGTAATAGGAGGGTTCAACAGGCACAAAGGTGTGCCTCAGGTGTCTTTTTCTTTGAGTAACCCTAAACAAAGTGGGTCAGTTTTCATCAAGCAGAGGCTTTGTGTTTGATCCCACTTCCTCCTGCTGAGCAACAAAATCATAGCAGAATGTTTTAATTTAACATCCTGTATCGCATTCACCTCTGTGTTGAAGTCTTCCGTCTCTGTGCATCAACATTTTCCAAATCTGATGTTATCTTTGGGAGAAACAAACACGAACAGGATAGCATCTGAAGGAATTTCCTGAAAATTTGTAATTGCTTTCTGTATATCCTCACGTCTTTTCGCATTGTCTGTGGATCAGCAAAGGCTGGTGGCTGGGGCTTGTTTCTTCAAGTGCAAAAACAACAAGAGGAGCTGTTATGTATAAGCTCTAAAGGTCAAATCATGAAGCCGCGTCATGTTGTGCTTTGTGCAACCACTGGGCTCTCTCTGCTTGTTCTGCTCTCTGCATTCCTGCTCCTTGCAGATCGATCCGACGCTTATCTGTCAAGGTGGTGAGTAATTCCAACCATCACAAAAGATGGGAGCAAACGGAAAAAGAACCACTGCTGACATTCCAGAGATATTCCTCCCAAGTGCATTGCATCTGCGTGGAAATTATTGCATGCGCTCTGCCTTGTTCGGAAAAGTACACTGAAAAGTTCTCTGTCACACAGGGCTTAACGGCATTAATAGAACATATTTAGGAAAGATTTCCAGCCACTGCAGGTGAAGAGCGGCGTCCAGACGTAGCTGAAATTAGTCAGGCATGTAGGTGGTAATGTGGCCTACATGACCTCAGGAAACCAGACAGGTAAACAGGAGTGGCATGTCCTTTCATGTCCTATACTGCAGCGCATGAGTATCTAATTTAGAGATGAAAAATAAATAGGCAGCAGCTAAAGTATGTAAAGTCAAGACTTGTGAGCAGAATAACAGAACCCACAATGTGAAAAATATTACATTAGGGCCAACATTATGAGCCTGAAGTGACTGAAAGCACAGTTAAGTTAGTATTTCTAAATTGTGAGGGTGTATTCTCAAACAGGGTTCAACTGTAAATGAGAATCATAAAATAACTGCTTTCGACTTTTCATCAGATTTAACGACTGATTCGACTACTTTTGACGGACAACCTTCATTTCTAGAAGGAAGTGATCTCACCTCTGCGGGGGAAAAAAAGAGTTAATATGCATACGCAAGACTACAGCAAGCCACTTGTAGGCATCTCCCGGCGGTAAACACTGCAGAAGTATGTGTGTGTACGTTTGGAGGGTGGGGGAGGTCATGGAAATGCGAGGCATCATTAAGCTGTCACACATACAGTAAAGGTTCATAGTTTCTCTGTGTGGTCGGGCTGGAGTAGGGCGCCAGCTTCCCGTGTGTGTCACTGCAACAACACACACTTAGGCTCGGGTTCACACTCAAGGCCAAAGGGCTTTATTGCCCATTTGCAAATAGTTATCCCCATGGGAACGAATATCAAAGCTGCATTTAAAAGGAAAACTATCAGGGTGAAGTATATTATATAATTTGTGGTTTAGTTCGCTTTTAATCAGCATAAAGAATAGTAAGAAAAGCTATTTTGTTTTAGAAGCAATTTTTTTTTTAACAATTTAAGTTGTGCTTTGGAAAATTGGCTTCATTTTTTCCAGAGCATTTAGCTGATCTCTCTACTATTCGCCACACACTCAGCAGTAAGTCACCAAAACAACTCAGCAGCGGCACAACCCATGACGTTGGTACAACCTGGCTCGGTCAGTGCTCCGGCACTTCTGTGGTTATTTAGTCAGTGTCAGCCTTTCATCTTCCCCTTTGCCCTACCTGACTCGGCACTCTAGGTTTCCTCCACAGAGTGGTGAGTTAGCAGGGAAGGAGCCTGATGTAAGCGCTATTTGATACATTGAGGTTTTCCCCGATTGAACGTTAATGGGAATTCCTTCGCTAGCAAGATACGTAGCTTTGCAAAACAGCCACTGTGGAATAAAAAGGAAAAAAGAAGATAATTCTGTGTCCAAGAACAATTGGCTCATTGTAGCGAGTTAAAGGTAATGACAGAGAAACCAGAGACTGATGTAAACAAAGATTATATCACTCTACCAGCAGAAATATACGCCCACATAACGGCACGAGACGCCTTCCAGTTAAAACTCAGCTCATTTCAAAGCAATAACACTGACAGCAACAGCCTATCTTTGTTTAGCCCACGCACTGAAACGACATGCCAGTGAATGAATAAGTATTATACCCATGCCAGCTCGCTTATGTGGTTACTTTAGCTGATATGCTGCCATGTTTTACACTCTAATAAAACCTAATTGGGTTCCAATTCAGAGAAACACATAAAGCACCTCACACATATCTTTGCCCCAGGTGTAAAATCAAATTTGTTACTTTCACTGGAGCTCTGTGACCACAAGCCTCACCACACAGCCACTCACCACATGCCTCTGCCTATTGGCAAGAGGAGTTCCTAACCGCTGAACACATGTACTATATGGTAATGCACTTTGTCTTACATTACAGTTATACAGCTAACTCTACATATATACACTTTCCCAGATCTCACACAGCAAGACACATGACAAACTAAAAGCTATAAGAGGTTATGAGTGACATCAGAGATTCTCCCTCTCAGGTACAGCAATTAACATCTGGCGCAAAGCAGCAACGAAGGGCGCCAGTGTGTGTGTGTGTGATTGTGCACGTGTGTGTGTTTCTGTGTGTGTCAGTGAGACAAATAATGAATCTTTAAACCACTCCCCATTTGTAAAGATCAAAGAGTCTCGCTCGAACACAGGATCACACCCACACAGTCTTGCGCAGCTACCAAAATCACATGCTAGTCAAGGCCCAGGGAATATCTGTATGTGAGCACAAACGTTGCCACAATAAAATATAAAATATCTTCAATGTGCCCCTGAAGTGGAGGACCTTAACACCGAAAAACAAGAACAATATTTTATATTATAGGAAGAAGCTGAACGCTGGCCAAAAACATCATGCTGTGAGCAACCAAAAGAGTTTAGAAAACATGTCATCACAGTGAGAAAAAACCGAGAAGCTTGCAACACATCTGGCAGCTACGCATGGTTTAGCTGTTGATGACTGTCAGACAGATGGACGGATGGATGAACAGTTCACCTTTCGAGCTCTGCTTATTGAGGCTCTAAAGTCGTTAGCAAGTAATTATCAAATACCAACATAGCTCTGCTAGGGAGTCACATTCTTCTGCATCTGAACAACAACTGCACACTACTGATATATGGGGAGATAATAAACACTTTTAAATATTGATATTTAATTCTACCAGTATACTGCAGTACCGAGCCGTCAGTGCAGTTGGATACACACATTTTTAGGGTGTAATCTTTCTCATAATGGCCAAAAGTCAAATCTTTAATATTCTGTAAGATTTTTAAAAACCTAATGTTTCATTAAGAGCGAGTGGCAGCAGTCCCTCTTGCATTTCTACACCATATTTTGTGGTTACACCTCTGCTCATGCTGACAGAGTCCAATTTCTCTCCTCAGGACCTTGTCAACACCACTTGCTGAGATAAGAGGAACCATCTCCGTGTGTTGGTGTAA